CAGGGAACCCTGATTGCTCTTTGGACTGACGAGGGAGGGGAACTTGATTGGGGGAGGGGGAGGGAAATGGGAGGCGGTGGCAGGGGGAGGCAGAAACCTTTAATAAATAATAATAATAATAATAATAATAATAATAATAATAATAAAAGAAACAGTTCTACAAGGCGAGCCAGCTGGTCAGTGAGAAAGTTGGCGATGACTTCAAAGAGATGGAAAAGAAGGTGGATGTTACCAGTCAGGCCATGGCAGAGGTACTGGTCAGAACCATCGAGTACCTGCAGCCCAACCCAGCCTCATGGGCTAAGCTGACGATGCTGAACACTATATCGAAGATCCGGGGCCAAGTGAATTACCCTGGCTACCCACAGTCAGAGGGGCTGGTGGGCGAATGCATGGTCCGCCACGGCAAGGAACTGGGCGGAGAGTCCAATTTTGGTGATGCCCTGCTGGATGCAGGCGAGTCCATGAAGCGCCTGGCTGAGGTGAAGGACTCACTGGACATCGAAGTTAAACAGAATTTCATCGACCCACTGCAGAATTTGTGTGACAAGATCTGAAAGAGATCCAGCACCACCTGAAGAAACTGGAGGGCCGCCGCCTGGACTTTGACTACAAGAAGAAACGACAGGGCAAGATTCCTGATGCGGAGATGCGGCAGGCCCTGGAGAAGTTTGAGGAGTCCAAGGAGGTGGCAGAGACCAGCATGCACAACCTCCTGGAGACTGATATTGAGCAGGTGAGTCAGCTCTCAGCCCTGGTGGATGCCCAGCTGGACTACCATCGGCAGGCAGTGCAGATCCTGGAGGAGCTGGCAGACAAGCTGAAGCATCGGGTGCCAGAAGCCTCCTCACGCCCCAGGTTCAAGCCCCGGTTGCGGGAGCTCTTCGACCTTGGAGAGCCAGAGCAGCTCAATGGGGGATTCCCCTTCGCCCCAGCACCCAAGATCACAGCTTCCTCGTCATTGAGATCAGCAGACAAGCCCACCAGAACCCCCAGCAGGAGTATGCCACCCCTGGACCAGCCAAGCTGCAAGGCACTATATCACTTTGAGCCTGAGAATGACGGTGAGCTGGGCTGCTGCGAGGGCGACCTCATCACACTCACCAACCAGATCGATGAGAACTGGTACAAGAGGATGCTGCATGGTCAGTCGGGCTTCTTCCTGCTCAGCTATGTGCAGGTGCTGGTGCCCCTGCCTCAGTGACCACGCCTGCACCAGTTCCTGCACATTATGGCAGCAGTCTAACGCCAAGGTGCTCTAGAAACACTAACATTCCTCCAGGGGACCCTCCTCACTCTCCCAGCCCTCGGCCCCCATCCTAAGACTTGGGAAGGCCCACTCTGAGGTCCTATTGCCTTCCTGATGGTGGCAGCTCCCACATGCTTCAAACCCTCTCAGCCCATTGCTGGCGATGGGCCCTGGCTCCTTCTCCAGGCTCCCCAGAAGCAGACGGGCCCTTGGAGTCTCCATCCTTTAAGCTGAGGCTGGCCAGTACCCCATCTTAACACACAGAAATGCTTAGCACCAGCTATACATGCAGAAGTGCACACAGCACACATGTGCACACCTCCCACGGGACCACAGAACCAGCCTCAGCCCTGCCGAAGGCCAAGCACAAAGGCCCCAAAGAGAGGACATTCCCAGGTCCCTGGCACTTTCCTTTGAGACAGCTCCATTGGTACCTGTCCATGTGACCCTGCACCTGTAGGCTACCACAGGCAGCTGGCAGGTCCCTTCTCTGACCAGCAGACCTGCCGCAGCCCCAGCTCTGCATCATATTCTGCCAGGTGCCAGCAAGTGAGGCCTCCAGCCTGGGCTCAGTCACATTCCTCTCTACAGTGTTCCCACAACCTATGGCTCAACCCTGGCATGTGGGGCCACACTCCACATCTCCAGTGGGCAACAATGTTCCACTCCAGCCCTGGCTGAAGTGAACTCTACTCCTGATTTTTTAAAAAGTATTAAATGTCTCTTTCTACCAAAAAAAATGAACTTATTTAAAATTTCCAAGGTCTATAAATGTAATCAAAAGACTATAATTTCCATGTGATTGGATGATGTGGATAAACTGAAATATTTGGAAACTTGCAGATGTGAATAAAAAATGCTGCTTGGAATTTGGAAAATAATTTGGTATTTTCTCGTACTATTAGACCTAAAGTTACCATTTGACCAAGTAATTATACTTTGAGGTGCATAAACAGAAGGGATGTAGAGGAACAACCATAACTGCATTATTTATAATAACTCCAAAGAGGAAACAATACTAATACCTGTAAAATGATAAAATGTACTATTCAGGCTGCAAAGATGTCTTAGAGGTTCAATGGGCAAAGGGATCCAATGTCATCTTCTGGCCTCCTTGGGTACCAGGTATTCATGTGGTACACAGACGCACATGTAGACAAAACATCCACACACATAAAATAAAATCAAAATGTATTATTCAGTAATGAAGTAACAAATAAATTTTATCACATTAATAACCTTTGGAAATGATGTGATATATAAAATAAGCCAGTTACAAATGTCACGCACTATTATCACTATTATTTCATACATATAGGAAAATTGTATTTTAGAAATATGATTCTCAGCTGGGAAGAACTGGTGCACGCCTTTAATCCCAGCACTCAGGAGGCAGAGACAGGTAGATCTCTGTGGGTTTGAGGACTCCCCGTTTACAGAGTGAGTTCCAAGACTGGTTCCAAAGATACAGAGAAACCCTGTCTCAAAAAAGAAAAGAAAGAAAGAAAGAAAGAAAGAAAGAAAGAAAGAAAGAAAGAAAGAAATATCATTTTCATGGATTGAAGCCTAAGGGTAAATAGAGAGTGTGTGATGATGAGTATGGAATTTATTATTGGGTAATAAAAGTGTTCTACACTTAGGTTTTGATGATTACACAATAATAAAAATTAAACTTTCTGGAAATGTTGAATTATATATTTTAGTAGATAAATGTATGACAGTGAATTATGTCTTATCCAATTTCCTACTATTTTCATTAAGTTCCAAAATAAAGATTTATAATATTTATGTTTATCGAATACAATGAAAACAAGTTAGAGATGCAACTTAATTAATGGCATATATAGCTTGTAAGTCATGGGACTCAAACTTGGGCCACTGGGCTTTGTTTGCGAACACATTTAGTCTCTGAGCCATGCCACTGACAACATATGTGTGTATTTCTAGTAGAACTCAGAACCTTATGCTTGCAAGGGATGCATATCAAGTCATAGTCTCAATTCCTTTTTATTATTGCCAGTGTTTTATCAAAACCATTATATCTGCATCTTTGTTCTTTGGTTTATTTTGCCCTAATATATTTTTTATTTTTTCTAGAATCATGTTTTTAATACTCTTTTTTTTTCTATTTTTAATTTTTTTAAATAAATTTATTTATTGATTTTACATCCTGGCTGCAGTTCCCCCTCCCTCCTCTCTTCCCAGTTATCCTCATTCTGTCCCCATACCCCTAATCCACTCCTCCACCATTTCTGTTTAGGAAAGGGCAGATCTCCTGTGAATATCAACGAAACATGGCATATAAATTTGCAGTAAGACTATACACCTCTCCATGTTGTAAGCCCGAGCAAGTCAACTAAGTATGAGGAATAGAGTCAAAAAGTCAAATAAAAGAGTCAGAGACAGCCCCTGTTCCCACTTTTAGGGGTCCCACAGTAGAACCAAGCTATAACATATATCCAGAGTGCCAAGGTAAATCCCATGCAGGCTTCCTGGTTGTCAAATCAGTCTCTGTGAGCCACCATGAACATATATCAGTTGATTTTGTGGGTTTTCTTGTGACATCCTTGACCCCTCTGGCTCCTACAATCATTCCTTCCTCTCTTTTGCTGGATTCCCCAAACTCCACCTAATGTTTGGCTGTGGATCTACATCTGTTTCTATCAGTCACTAGATGAAGCCTCTCTGATGAAAACAGGGCTAGGTACCAGTCAGGTCACAGGAGATGGCCAGTTCATGCTACATATCTGCTATTGCTAGGAGACTAAGTTGGGGGTCATCCTTATTGACATAGGAGATTGCCTTGTACCAGGTTTTCATATGATCCCATAATGCCCCCCTCTTTCCAGTAGTTTCTTTTAGTATTCTTCTCTTGTTCCCTCCCCTCCCCCACTCACACAACCTGATTGCTCATTTTCTCATCCTCATCTACCCTCAATCCACTCGTGAAATCTCTTCTATTTATCCTTCCCAGGGAGATCTGGATGTCACCCCCATGTTCCTTCCTTGAGTCCTCCTAAGTGAGGTAACCCAGACCTAGAAAGATAAACATGGTATGTACTCACTTATAAGTGAATATTACATAAAGGAATACTGAAACATAAAGGATAACTATGACACAATCCACAACAGCAAAGAGATTGGAATCATGTTTTTCTTCCAACTTTAAAATACTTGCTTCTTGGCCACTTACTGGGGCTAATATTCACTTATTAGTGAGTATATACCATGTTGGTATTTTTTAGTCTTATGAGCCCAACTGAAGAACTACATGCAGCCTAACGTCATTTTGACAGTGCCTGTGCTTAGAGTCATATTCTTTAAAGTCCTCTTGTGTGGTGCTGCAATGTTGATGGAAATACAGGAGGCACTGTTGAGTCAGGTGGGCCCCTTCCGCCCTCTACCTCAGGCACTCCTGTTCCAGATACAGAGCTGCAGCTTCAGACTCATACCCTGAAAATATTCTGCAACAGCCTACTTTTCCCAGTCCAGAGCATCAACTTGAAACTCTAGATTAGGTAATGAAAACTTGGAAAGATAAGATTGGTTGGGGGAATTAAGTCATTGGATGGCATGTCTTTGAAGGACATGCCCTTAATCCCTTTCTGTGTGCTCTGCTTCCTAGTTTGTATGGGTTGAACTTTGCTGCACCATGACCTCCAGGCCATGATGAACAAAACCTCTGAAAATGTTGCTAAAATAAATCTCTCTTCCCTTAAGTTATTTCTGTGAGATTACAGAAACGTTACTGATGTGGGAGTGTCATATCAATCTGTTGATTTCATTGGCTGAACAATAAAGAAACTGCTTGGCTGGCCCTCATAGGTTAAAGCATAGATGGGAGGAGAAAAAAGAATAGAATTCTGGGCGGAAGAGGAAGTGAGGTCAGACTCTGCTCTGCTCCCGGAGACTCAACAGCTCTGCTCTCTGGAGCAGAGACACCATGATGGACGGAGGCTAGAATCTTCCCGATAAGC